TCTCTCTCTCTCTCTCTCTCTCTCTCTCACACACACACATCTTCTGCAATTTGTGAGGTTTATGGCTTTTATTTCCACATTTCCACAAGGACTTGCATGTTTGCTGAGAAATTGAATATAGATTTTGTTTGGGTGGCTTATTTATGAACTTTTCTGATAAGCTAATTGAGGGGCATTGCAAAATTTGACATGGTTTATCACGCTTTGTTTGATTCTAGTTTTATCGAAGTGATTTTCTTGATTTGGAAATAAATTTCCTTTGATTTTGGAAACAAATCTTCCTTGGGGATCATTTCACTTAATTAATCCCAATTGTCCTGCTATAGTAATGTATCTGAACTTGAATATTTAAGAACAATTGCAAAACTAGTTGACAAACTGTGCTATTAGGTATATACACAATGTGATATGTGATTTTTTTGTTGTTGAATATTTTGAAAAGATTCTTGACCTGTGGGCTTTGCAGGTACAAATGTGTTGCATGCTACAAGCAGTATAAGAAAAAGGAACATCTTGTCGAGCACATTAATGTCTCGTTCCATTCAGTTCATCAGCCTAGATGTGGAGTGTGTAAAAAGCACTTCAAATCTTTTGAATCACAGAGGGAGCATGTCACTGGTGAGATGTAATTCCGTGTTGCATTGTAATTGATCAGATCATTGCATAGTTGTTTTGATTCATCTATAAGATTGCTTGTTGTTTGATATCCTTTCCTTGGTTGCTATGATTTAGGACCACTGGCAAAAGAAAATTGCAAGAGGGTTTTCTCTGAACAAGGTTGTGATCTATGTTTGAAGATTTTTGATAGCCCTATTTCTCTGAGCGCGCATAAATATATGTGTCGCCTATCTGCACCTGTTCCTCTGGTAAGTTGATTAGTTGAACATCAAGCATCCTGTATGGAATTGGGAAACTTGTCATCTTCCAGTATTCTGAATCTTTTACCCTTTTTACCCATTAAAGATACTCTTAGCTGCAACTGTATATAAGATATGCACATACATTACTTATATTTTCAGTCGAAGTGTTGCAGGTAACAATGATGGAGCGATGTGAAGAATTTAAACATGATATAAACTCCAGCAACAAATATCACGTTGGAGATGGTACGGAAGCAATTGCTCTGGATTGTGAAATGGTTGCTGGTGGAAGTGATGGATCACTGGACCTGTGTGCAAGGGTGTGCCTGATTGATGAAGACGAGACTATCCTCTTCCACACTTATGTGCAGCCCCAATATCCTGTCGTTAATTACAGGTACTAGTGTGTTATGTTTCTCATCTTTGATTTCTTACAAGAATTTTGTGAATAGGCCTCTGATCATGACAATGTTTCCATTCCAGATATGAAGTTACTGGGTTAACAGAAGAGCATCTCAGAGATGGCATGCCACTCCAAAAAGTGCAAGATAAGGTTTTGCAGATTTTGTATAATGGAAAGACCAAGCTTCTTGTGGGGCATAGTTTAGAAAATGAATTGGATTGCTTGAGAATAAACTATCCTGATTACCTGCTGAGGTATAAGAGTTTCTGTTTTTCTTCTGTAATCCTCTTCTTGAGATATGTGAATCATGAGCACAGTGTTTCTATAGTTTTTCTAGATCATGATCCATATGAAGATTGTGTGTCTGCTATGAGACTCTACAAAAGGTTCTGTGCGCTAGATCATCAGAAAGAAGGCAATGTGGCTTCACTTGCTATGCTGTGTGCAAAAGACATCCCTGGAAGTTTTGATTCTTGGGAAACCGACAAACTTGAGAAGATGACGGTCGATGAGCTTTATGAAATGTCGAGACCAAACTACAAATGTTGGTGCCTGGATTCAGCGCAAGCAATGCAACCTCAGCATTAGATTCTCACTTGAAGTTAAGTTATTGCAATTTTCGTTCACATACCGCAGGATTGACAGAAACATCACATGTAGGAATATATGTAGGAATTACAAGTCTGAAGCTGTTGGAGATTCTGAGCAAGGGTACCATCGCACATATGTAGTAGGAATCTTGTTAGGGGGTCATGCCTTAATGTTATATAAGTTTGTTCATGCCTCCTTTTTCGTCATCGGTCTCGGATGGTGAAATGATGCAAATTCTCAAAGGCCCCGTTTGGTTTGGGAGAGAGGATTTGCATTTGCATTTAGATTTCAAATCTATGGATATAATTTCTTGACATGATTTTGCTGCTTGGGTTTGGGGGTAGATTTCATCTGTGTGATTTGGATTACCTACAGAGTACGGAGCTTCTGCCCTGTGGTGCACATGATGAGATGCTTAAAGGTTAAGAGGGTGAGTTAGTAATTTACAAGGTGGGTATACGTATAAATTTCTCTAAAGGTAGAACTACTTTTTGTTTTATACGTATAAACCGAAAAAGGAGGGTTGGGCCTCTGTCACTATTTACGGCCCACCTAGCCCATTTTCAGCTGTCAGATTAGCAACCACTTGTGGGCTTGTGGCATTCTAAGGTAATAGTAATACCAAAGCAAATGTAAATTCTGCTCCGAAAAAAGTTAACCCAAAAAATAAAAAAATTAGAGGACTACTGTTCAACCAATCATAATGTTTTTTGGCCGGCAATGAATTAAGATTCAATATGCGATGATCTCCATTTTCAATTTTCTCTTGTATGCAAAATCAAATCCAAATTGGGAATTGCTAGATCCATTCCATTTGTATGTTTCCTTTTTTCCTTCATATTTTTCCATGTTGTTGGTGTTCCGAACCTTTCATTTTCGAGATCATTTAAACCACAAAAATCATTCAAATCGGAAATTGTTTAACCATTCGGTCAATCTCAATAGTGTGCTAATTTAGTGTTTAATCAACATTCTATTTATTTAGTTCATTTTGTCAAAAATAATCATTAAATGTTGATCTAATAAGATAGCTACGATCATCAAACCATACTGAAGGACGAGAACAAGTGAGAGAAAAGAGAGAAATTTAATATGACCACTTAAGTAAAATTCACTAATTTGTTATCGTTTATTTTTAAATAAATTTAATATGTACGGTTAAGTCAGTTAGCTAAAGCATTATTCTTTCTCTTGCACTTGAGTTCGATCTCATTCTCATATACATTAGAGTAGTTTAAAGGGAGTTTCACTAAAACACCCAAAATGGGGGTTGAAATTATAAAAAAACCCAACACCCAAAACACTTTATAAACACACCCAAAACCCATCATTACACACACACAAGACCCATTTATAAACACACCCAAAAAATATACAATTGTTGATTTTGGGGTTGCTTTTGGGTGTGTTTCTATGTTTAAGTAGTGCGTGGGTTTTTTTATAAATACATGTCTAGGATTGAGTTTATTTATAATAATCTATAGTTTAAAAGATTACCCTTATCAAAAAAATCAATTCAATTCAATTGACGTGTGTGTGCATAGAAATTTGGATAGCATCCACCTACCCTTGGTACTTGTGACACGGGCTGAGACATATGCGACTAAAAGCTAAAGTTGTTTTTCTTCAAAGGTAAAAGACAATTACAATCCATCTTTAAATAACAAAAGTTACTTAAATGTACCATAGCTAGTAATAAAAATTAAGGCTCCGTTACTATATATATATATATTCTCCTATGCGGATGTCTGGACGTTATTATCAAGAAGTCAAAAATCGTCGTAAAAAATTTGGAAAACGGAAACCAGTCGCTGCAAAATCTGTTCAAAACAAAGATGCTTTTCTATATTAGATCAAAGCATGTGGAAACTACTTGCAACATTAATATGTTAAAAATGTATAATGCGAATTATAATTAAATAAGAGCACCACAGTCTAGTCTTTGTTAATTCTTACCCCAGCTGGTTTCTTTTGGGGACGACGAGAGTCCTCGTAGGCCGAAAGCGTAACTGTTCTCTTGTATTTTGTCAATATTGTGTTTGTGATTGTGAGTGGATCTATATCACCTAAAAATTTTACTTCCCATTCAACAGATCCATATTTTGAGAAGCTGAAGACGACATCTACTCCTACAACCCAAAAGATAGAAAATAAATACATAAATATGAGTATTGAATAAAACAATAAGTACTAATTAAGAAGAGTTTTGATGAGTAATATAAACTCGCATGCAACATATATACAATTAAAAAAGAGTTTCATTTGCAATGCACGAACCTTTCATTTTGTCCAACGTTTCCCTTACTTCGTCAAGACAACCTGGACAATGTACCTTCAAAACACAAGTCTGCAATGCAAGAAAATGTATTACTTAATTATAATATCATTCAATTTAGTCATAAAATGAAGAGGTCGTGAGTGAGGCGTAGCAAGACATACCACCGGACTAAAACGGCGGTTGTTCTCCATCAATGGAAGAGCAACCTCGGTAGTACTGCGGTTCTCCATTGACGCGGGAACAATAGCATCCTTTGAGTTCGATTGAAATTAATAAAATAATTAGTTATACATAATCAGGGAATAATTAAAAATGCATGCATGCTAATTAATATATATATTTGTTGATATACTGAATGAACGATTATAATATATGGTGATACTTAGCCGGAAATTGCAATCTTAATTACCTTGTTATAATTAAGGGATAATTTTGTGTCGTTTTGAATGAAGTGATCATTATTCTGTGCAAGATGATTTGCAGCAGGGTTTGAATTCTTCCTGTCGTAGGACACAAGCTCTGCACGACGTGCCTTACAAACCCTTGATATTGTACATGCCTTTATGACTATGGCTGGGTCTACAATATCCCCACAAACTGCTATCGTGCGTTTGTATTTATTCATGGTGATGGATTTTAGTCCTACTCGAAAAGTAAAAAACTATATTAATATCAAACGGAATCTGCATACATACATATATATATGTAACATATTATTAATTAATAATTATGAAAGAGTTTATTTGTACCACTTATTTCCTGCAACAAATTTTTCTGTATTGTCTCCGAATGATAAGTAATCCAATAACTTGGAACCTTCACAACACAAGTCTGCAAGGAGCATGTATATAGACACATTAATGAAAATGAGGAGTAATACGATATACTTTGTATGTAAGCTAGAGTTTTTCTTGGTTGATTTCTTAATTACCTCAAATTGGAAGTTTTTCTTGTTTTTGAATCCTTGTGCTGCTGCAGCAACAGGTTTGTCCTTGGCATTTCTGTGGGGCTCAATCTGTGCATACTTTTCTATTGTCTCTACCACTGTGGCTCGATCTACATGATCACCAGAAACTTTTATCCTCCGCTGATAATAATCTACTGTCACGCAATTTATTCCTGTATGTATGCAAACTCAAAATTTGAAAAACTCGTATAATCAAACCCGTACGTATCAATATATAATTGAGAGTTATGAATAGGGTAATATATGTTAGATTGAATTTTGAATGAGTATATTGAAATCAAATCCGAACATATAATACTATATATATAAAGTTTTTGAATAATTTGTACCGTCAGTTTTGTTCAACTCTCTCTTTATTCTGTCAAGGCGTTCCGAACAACACAGGTTATTAACGACCTGCACAGCATAAGGGATCTGCAACAAGGCATCAAGATATAACACAGTATATATTACTAATATTAGTGCATATGTATATTTTGAGATGGTTATTTGCGGCTAGGCTCTTAGTTAATTTCTTACCTTGGAATATAAAATTTTCAAGTCCTCGGGGGCAGGTTTTTCATTCTGAATATGGTTGTTAAAGGCTTCATCACAAGGGTTCTTTTCTATTTTGTAGGACAAAATCTCTGCATCCCTAAGTATCGTCTGAATGATTGTGACTGGATCTACATGGTCGCCACAAACTGTTATCTTGGCACCACACCTATATCCTCCCCTTTCATAAAGCTTGGCTGAGACGGAATGTGCTCCTACATACACACACACACATATATTCGAATGTTATATATACTTACTCAGTTGTACAAATTACTTGCATAATAAAGAGGTTTATTTATTAATTTTTACCGTCAATTTCCTCCAACTTTCTTTTTATTCTATTACGCACATTAGAGTCAGATTGGTTCACCTTCACGACATGATAAGTAATCTGCAACAACACACATATTAATTCTAGAAAAAAGATCGATACATACCATTCAGTGTTATAATATAGTACACACAATCATAATATAATGCAGAATTAATAATTAAGAAGTAGCTTGATACATACGGGGGTGTCGTGATGAAGACGGTGGTTCTCCATTGATGAAATTGTAGAACCCTTCTTTGGGTTAGACATAAGATCGCCATTATCATCTATAAGGGCAAGGGCAGTGTTGTTGGGATGACCAAGATCATCGTAGTTTTCCCTCACTGCCACAGTAGTATACTTTGCGTTTGACATGTCCCACAATCCCTTGCTAGCTTGCTAGCTAATAGATTGAAGACTACGGACTAGACGTAGAAGAAACCTAGGGTTCTTTGAGAAAGTAAATAATGTTGGGAGAAGATTGTGATTTGTGAGATATTTATACATCAGAAAATAGATGCTAATATTACTTTTTTCAGAATCTTTTGAACTTTTTTTTTTTGGGTATGTTATGAGATTTTCTAAGCCTTGCTTCGCCAGGAAACCCTTGTTTCTTAGGAGTCTTAAACCCTTTCCTTTCTTGCCGCTTAAGAATAAACGGCAACCAAGGAAAGTGAACCAAAATCCAATTTCACAATTTTAGATTTTCTTACCATTAATTATATATGCTTCTCGTAAATTTGATTTGGTGAAGAAACAATTTATTTCTAGGAAAGAAAATTCAGCTTAATTATAAATCTTTAATTTCCGATCACATAAGCTTGGCTCTCAGTAAAATTCACTAAATCAGTCTCGTTTATCATAAATCTTGTGAGTTTTAACCGTTGGTATTAAGAATTTCTAAGGTTTGGTTTGCTTCACACCAGGAAACCACTACTTCTTAAAAATCTTAAACCCTTTCCCTGCTTGGTGTGCTTAAGTTGTGAGAATAAGGGAGCTTGAATACTGAAACCCCAACCCTTTAGAAATTCAATTAGAAAACAAAACAACACTCAAAACACCTATAAATTACAACATTGCCATTAACCGAAGCCCAGCCCGAGTTTCATTAAAAAAACCCAAACTAAATTACAACTTTTTTTTGATGAAAAACTAAATTACAACTTTGCCACCACCTTTTCAAGGCAAAAACCCAAGTTGAAGCGTAGCTCAAGTTTCACTAAAAAAAAATCCAAAACACTCAAAACAAGCCCATCCCACATTAAAACAAAAGAAATTAACAATCGCTGGGAAAACGTGAGTGGGAACACAAGTCTTGGCCTCATGATTTTCCTCGTACTTTCTTACTTATTTCCAAGT